CCTAAAGGTGACAATAATAACAAGAAAAGTCAAAAGCTATATACATCTCATTGTATCACAACCAAATATCTCTAATCTTGTTCGTCTTACAAAGTCACATATCGGAAATGTTAAACAAACGTTACAAGGACTACTTGTTCTTCATATCGATGCGTCACTTATGTTATATGAATTATCAATAATATGCCACATGAAATTCCTTCAGTTTTGTTAAGATGTTACTCAGAAAACAAAGTCAAATATACAAAATAACTTGAAGAGTTCAATTGATGATCGAAACCGCGTAGATCATTTTCTGGTGAATCCTGATAAGTATGTTACAAATCTTTCTCATATTACTCTGTCTACGCATCAGAAAGAAGCTTTATCCCTTGGACTCAAATTTTGCGTTCCTCGCACGCAATTTACGGATTTAGCCATCCATGCTGAGTTTGATAACTTATACGACCAACTCAGACCTCTTGTCGCAACATCCGACGAAGATCGGGGCTAAGATGGTGGATATAGCTCACCAGTTTTTAAACAACAACCCAAAGGTGAAAAGTATTTTAAATTCCCAGTATTTCAAAGCCTTGACAGAGCTACGGGAAAACTCTAATATAATTATTACGAAACCTGATAAAGGTTCTGGCGTCGTGACTACAAATCTAAAATGATGTCTATTCCTGATGATAAAAGCAAATTTAGCCGTGATCCCTCCTCAGAGGACATTCAGTTGTTGAAGGACACAGTGACAGCTAACCCAGTGAAGCTTCATGCTCTAAATGCTATAAGTAAAGATAAATTTTACTCTTTAAAACCATCAGAATTTAAATTCACGCATATGAATGGTTTGTCAAAAAAATACATAAACCCAATAATCCTTTACGCCCTATTTTGTCAATGTGCAAATCCTCAACGCATAAACTTGCTAAATGGTTAGTGGAATTATCGCATCCAGTCAAAACACAATTCTGTAAGTATGTGTTAAAACATACATTTGAATTGGTTAATTTTCTTGACGATATTAACATTATGAATAAGAATATGTACTCTTCTGATGTAAACACGTTATTTACTAATGTGCCTTTGATCAAAACAGTTGACATTTTGTATGATTACATTTCCACAAACAATTTTTTCATCCCGTTCCCTATATCTTATTTAAGGGATTTATTACTTCTATGTACTTACAATGTTAGGCTTACATTTGAAGGTAACTGTTTCCGCCAAGTTGATGGTGTTGCTATGGGAAGTTCGTTAGGGCCCCTTTTAGCAGATATCTATATATCGTACGTTGAGAATTTATTGGAGGATTTAATCGACAATGTGCGACTTTATAGAAGGTGTGTAGATGATATTGTAATCATAAGTGGTAATTCTTCTTCTGTCGCATCAACTTTAAATCGAATGAATCAAGTTCAGAATAGCGCATCACTTACATCTGTAGAAGAGGAAGATAATTGTTTATCTTTCCTAGACATATTGCTTAGTCGATAGCTTGATGGGTCAATAAAAAGACCTATTTATAGAAAACCTACCTGGACAGGACAGTATCTTAATTACCACAGTTACTGCCCTGTTCTGTAAAAAAGAGCCTTAGTGAGCGAGGTGTCTCTTCAGTAGAATTCAACGAATATGCACTGAAGATACACTTGATGAAGAAGAAAGAAAGTTGACACAAACTCTGGTTGATAACAAGTATCCAGAAAAGTTCATCAGGAAATATAAAGTATAGCAAAAATATTCATTCAGATATCTATAAAACTAATATTGTTATTAACTACCAACCTTGAATATTCTGTGTATATAAACATGTATATAATTGTAGAGCCAGAAGAGGAATTTATCGAAAAGAATATTCTTTGCTCGATTATGTTGTGTTTTATAAATATAAAGTAGTCAAAAACACCAAGACCCACTCTCCAACTCGCCCCTAAAAAAGACGTGTACATCAAGCTACCTTATATGGGTATCAAAGCAGCTTGATAACTACACAAAGACTGAACGCTGCTGTTAAAAAGACTTTTTATGCAGCTAATATCATAATAATAGAGAATGTAAAGCCATTATATCTATCTAAGCCCTTCGAACATGCGAAAAATGACGTCACATCCCACTGTATTTACCAATTTGAATGTACGTGTGGACACACATACATAGGGAGGACTCGTCGATCTCTGCAAGTAAGGGCTTCAGAGCATATTCCTAAATGGCTCCAGAAATAAATGGAATCTTCAGAACCTATTAACGGTGAGAACAGGAGACCTAGCTCTTCTATTGCGAAACATATTATAGAGACAGGACACAAATTTGATGTTAACAGATCTTTTAAACCTATTTATAAAACGTGTTTGGGGCGTATCCTAAAGTTTGTGGAAGCCCTAGTAATTAGAAAGTTCAAGCCACCTTTATGCGTTCAAAAACAATTCGTCACCACACTAAACCTTCCTTGGTAAACTTTGTTTTGATATCATAGCAGATGTACTATTACCTCTGTTATTTGGTTTAGTGGTCTTCATTGTTATTTTGACCTTCAATGTGTCCTTTTAACTTGACCTTAGTAGTCTATTTTCTCGCCTCTTAACTCTTTATTAATTTCATATATATTCCTATGACAAGTCCGTGTGGGATCAGATTGTTGGAAATGTGTTGCGCAAATACATTACACGATTCAGACAAATTACGTCTTATTGCTTTGTCTGAATTCATAAAGGGAACTAACTGTTTTAAAAATAATAATAATATTAATGACGACATGCATGTCAAACAGTAAGGAATCCAAATCATCAGTAGTAATTCCACACAAGGAAGGAACCTCGAAAACCTTACACAGAATTCTTAACAAGCCAGGAATAAAAGTGGCATTCAAGCCCACAAGTCCAATTAGAAACAGGCCTTATCGGTTGAATGATCGTGTGGAGCCTTTAAAGCAAAACAATTTAGTTTATCTAATACCCTACAGTGATTGTCGGGTCAAATAAACAGGTCAAACTAGTAGAACAGGGGCAGTTAGACTAGCCAAGCATAAAAACTTAGCGAAATCTAGATTGGTTGACCCAAATAAGATAAGAAATCTAGAGAATAGTTCAGCCATAGCATTACATGCAATCACACACAACCAAACAATAGGATGGGATAAGATGACAGTTCTAAAATCTAATATAACAGTATGGAGGGGGAGACTGATAACAATGGAAGCTTTGTTTCTCGAATCAACTGCAAAGACGTGTAATAGGAATGATTAAACAACCTGTCCCAGATATCTGGAAAATTCTACCACCCCTAAGACAGAGTGGACAGAAAGAAGAAAACTATATAACTCAAGTTTCGAAGTTGTGTGATTATAATTGATATGATTATGAACAGTAATAAATTTAAGTGTTGGTTTGTAGGGATTTGATTGGTTTCAAGATTTCATCATGAGCTGACATTAGTTAGAGAACCATTGGAAAACCTGGGAGTACTGGACAGCCGTTTCGTCCTAGTTTGGGACTCTTCACCAGTACGCACCCACCGGGATTCCAACCCAGGACCTTCCGGTTACAAGGCGAGCTCGTATAACATTAAGCCACTGGGACCCGATCCAATGGCCAGTCCATGAATTCTAACTTCTGCCAATTCACGACATACCGCGACCGCTAGCCAATGTCTTCGGCGAGTATTTGTCCTCACACCCGACCAGCTAATAAATAATAAATTTTGTTCGAAACGTCATCCAGTAAATAATACTGTGTGATACATCTAATAAACAAACTAATATGAAACGGGTATTGAAAATGTCTAATGGATTAATTGACGTATCACATTACTACAATTTTTATTTGATTTCTAGTGTAAAGTAGTACTTGAATAGCATATCCCCACATCATCCTGTTCTTAACAAACTTCTTCAGCTCATTCCACGATATCTAATAAGCTTTCATCTCCTCCCTGTCACTCTCAGACCCGAGTCCAACACGTCATTCTTCGATTCGACTCCACTCTAGAGTCTACCTGAAGCGTGATGTGACTCAACAGTCTCCTCACTGTGTGAACGTGCATGTCCTGTTTATCTTCATTTACTTGTGTGTATTTGTTAGGCGATAGGTTCTTGGTTGCTTTGTTCTCACAGTTCCCTGTTGCGTATAGTTTCCGATAGCTTAATCTTCAGAATAGAGATAAGGTGTGTTAGCTGTTGATGCAAGTCTACAACCTGTTGGAAATGATTTTCGTGGCGCATGCGCGCACGCATCAAGTCTCTGAAACATATGAAAGAAATGACTGATTTGACATTACTCTTGAAAATTTGGATCTTGTTCCTAATGCTTAGTTTAGCATTGATTCCGCAGCGATACAGCAATCTCCACAAAAATGCATCACTTCAAGTTATTACAACTTGAAACATCACGTTAACACTATACAACTAGTCTGACTCATACGAACTGTGATCAAGATTTGATCGGATAGTTGCAAAATAATTGAGCGCTGAGTGAGAAGTAGACATTTATAAAGTTATATTTGTAAAATCTCAGCGAAATTGAAATGATTAATGGAATTAATCATTTCAATTTCGCTGAGATTTTACAAATATAACTTTATAAACTAGTCTGACTGTTACTAACGGTATTGTCCCACATAATAACAGAGAATGAGGGATGATACCTATAATCACGATACTTCATTGGACTTCACAGGTACCCCCTCCCAAACGTTCAGATCTGATTCTCTTCCCAATCACTCGAATTACCTACTAAAATGAAAAATAAGACATCATCCATCCTTACATTCGACTTCTGACATTGATGAGCAACATGATAGATATCAAGATCGCCAGACAATGTCTGTCCTCAAGCCAAAATGTGTGTGGTCATGGGTGCGTACTCCTGGAGAGTCTTAAACAAAGAATAAACAGCCGTCCAGTAATCCCTGAATAGCTTTTAATGGTTGTCTAAATGAAGTGAATTTGTGATCAAACTTGAAATAGACTATCATAGCGAAACTCTACCAAAATGAGTTAAATTATTTCTTGTTAAACATACCTGCGTGGTGTAAACTGTAGAAAGGCACGTTTCAATTTCCCTCGTGCACTTGGAATATTACGTATAGAATCCCATTTGTAATCACGCATTTCTAGCCATCGACATAACCACATACCACATTGTATGCCTAAACCATTACAGACTAATACATCTAGTATAAGACTATCCCACCAACATTCACTAAAATTTGGCAGAATATGCGAGAAAGCAACCTTAGAAAAGACAGAGAGAGAGGGAGATGAATTAAATGAGCCGACGATAATTCATTTCAATGATGAAAATGGAGGTAAATGTTCAACCGGCGAAAATTAGTAAAAATTAGTTAGTAAAAAACAAACAACTCACCTTTAAGGAATACTCAAAATACTATCATACAGATACCTCTGTTAGGTTGACGAAAACATATTGATTCTCTTGTCTGATAATCAGTATTTCTAACCAGACTTCATAGCTGATTAAAAAAGTAGTCGAGAGATTACAGAAGCAAGATAACTGACTTTCTTATCATCTGAGGGAAACAACTTATTGCTTTGATGAATGTCTTAATGAAGAACTCAATACTTTTAAACATTTATGAGTGAAAATGGCTACCCCAAAGAAATCCATCGACAAGAATATGAATCTCGAATCAAGGAAAGCCAAAGTATCAACGCCTTCTTATTACAACTTCACTCCCTCAGTGACAACACCATTGAAATCGTAACACAACGTCTAATGAATGAGACAAAACGAAGAGCAGTCAGTGACGCTGGAGCATGCTGCCTCTTTAAAACCACTCCTATTTTGCATTCAGGAGTTAAACAGAAACTACTTAGTCTCACTTCCTCTATATGCATGTATCAATTTCACTACTTCCACGTGGAGCCAGTAAGCAAGATAGGGCGTACAATCAGGCGTGTTTGTCGCCACATTTCTGAACTCCATCCTGTGTGGTTCAGTAAGAAATAAAACAAAGTCCATTCATATTTCTGTACTATCTCATCTCGTAGATACACAATACAAACTTGATGTAAACAAGGCGACTTTTAAAGTCATCTACCGTATACCAACTAAGCTTAATTCTACCTCAAGAGTTCACCTGTCACATATTGATTAAGCTGTTGGAATCTACATTAAGAAGCCTAATCTATGCACCCAAGAGAAATTGGTTCAGACGATTTTCTTACACACACACACACACACCGCAGTCATCAAGGTTTCAATGATCCTTAATTTGTTGTAGAGATTTCCTTGATTTTGATATTCTGTTAACTATTACATTTGTATGTCTATTATAACTTATGAATCTTTCTTGAACTGTAATTCCGCTGATCCTAACAAATCGATATTACTTAAAAGACGCCACTATTGTTACTGACGATTAATTTAAATATTCTATGTATATATCTATATACATAGATGTAATTATAGGCTGCCTGCCGATTGCCTCTAGCCATCTAATAACAGCAGTTTTGAGTGCACCGTGATGGTGAGCCACGAAGAATGGTAGTCACATTGCAAACCTGACTGACAGAATTCAGTCTGTACCAAACAAAAGACTAAAAACATTACACTAGCTACTAACTAGTGTCCAATCAAAGTATCTGATACAGTCCTACATGATGTCAGTCGTGAGCTCGAACAGCTTAATGGTGACGTCTCCGACTGCAGCACTGGGGTACAGGTCCGAAACTCATAGAGGACATGAGTTCCTTTAAGAGTGCAGATACGCCTTGCTGACTGACAAGTGCCAACTAGCACGAAACCTAGGTCCAAGGCTTCCCGCTGATTGTTTTCAAGCATCTAATAATAATATTATTGTAGAGCGGGGCGAGAAATTTACAGAAAGGAATATATTTTCCTCGAAATTTCGCTCTTTCTTAAAAACATTTCTATTCGCCAGCAGTACTTCTCTGACCTCCAACAAAGTAAAAGAAACTTCATTATGCTGACAACTGCTTTTACTCTAAATGCTAACTAAACGACTTTAATAGCATTTAGCAATGCCAGAAATACTCATTACAACAGAGCAGCTCATCGAGTCATTGCGTCAGTCGCATCAGACAGTGGGGGAAATGAAATTTCGCCACCGTATCCATCAGAAATCAAAAACTATTCAGAAAACAATATGCGATCCGCTTGATGCCATAAATGTTAATCACTAAAATCCACAACACAGAAAAGTGATAAGTACTACTGATGGATAATGAGTAGTTCAGGAGTACTCTAGCCGAATACAAATACTTGCCAGCCAAGTCACGTATTTTCAAGTATTGGCTTGCAGGGATTCGACAGGTTACAGTTTTCATCACAAGTTGCCGTTAGTTAGGGAGCCACATTAGAAAACCCAGGGAGCACTGATAATTTACTGTCATAGTCTGGGGCTCTTGAACAGTACGAACCCACCACCAGGGTTCGAACCCAGGACCTTCTGGTTACAACACAAGCTTGCTGGCCATTCAGACACTGTGACCTAAGCCGAGTTTTTGCATTGACGAGGACCACGATATATAGCGAGATTGCCAGCCAGTGTCCTCACGCCCTAATTGAAGTCATGGTTGCGTACTACTGAGGAGCCGTAAACTAGCACGAAACAGCTATCCAGTACTCCCTGGCTTGCGTCAGCTAATTATCAAACCTGAAACAAATCACATATCGGTTTCATCTCATCGGCTTAAGCATTTGACTTCCATCCAGCAGGTAACAGACTCGAGTGACAACTCCACCTACTTCAGTCTGGCTGCACCGATGAGTAGCATTACCAGCCCTGCCCTTATGAGACAAATCAGACTCAGCCTGTTATATGAAATATCTGTTCAGCACAATAGAGTTTAAACATACTGTTAGTAATTCGTATATGACAAGTGACAGACTGATCATCAGTCAGTCAATCATAAATAACACACGTAATAAGCTGGCTGCCGACATTTAATTGGTAGACCGTCATACTAATCATCTGACAAAATTAACAACCACTGTCATATGACTAACATATAAGTATAAGAGAAACCCAGTTTTCTTGTTAATTAACAACAGAGCTTCTGTCTGTCTGTCTGCTTTCGACATAGAACTTACACATATGTGCGGCAGTTCAAGTCGCCACACTCCATGTAGCGCACAAAGCATGAGGTGAAAGTATACTAAATGCATAATATAGACAGTAAAGAGAGGTGCGAGACAAAAGGAATAGTAATAACAAAGAACAATACAGTTCCATTGGAAATCATAAGTCACAAGGAGTGGATGCATTTGCGCCAGCCACTGAGAACGATTTCGAGCCATGTCACCAATTGTTTCCAAACATTGGTTTTTACCGTCTCGAGGACGCCAACCAGGAAGTCTACATCTTCCTGCGTGGCTTAAACTAACTGTTGTGGATTTCATTGACTGGTGCCATGTTTTGGTTTGACCACCGCTAGCTCTTTTCCAGCCTGACCCTATGTCAGCTAACGTTGTCCATCTAGGAAGGCGATGACTAGGCATACGTAACACATAACCTAACAATCTCAGTCGATGTAATTTCACAGCCTCGTCGATTGATTTCCCCTCCTTACCTAGCACTTGACGCCTAACCTCAATATTGCTCACCCTATCATACCACTTCACACGGGAGATAGAGCGCAGACACCTATGATCAAAGACAGCTAGTCTTTTCATGTCTTCCACTCTCAGTGACCAGGTCTCACAACCATAAAGGAGGACGGAGCGGACTGATGAGCAGTACACCCGCCCTTTGGTCGATAGTCGAACATCTCGTCTACACCAGAGTCGGCGTGAACTGGCAAATGCGGAACGAGCCCCCTGTATTCGTGCTGAGATTTCGTCAGAGATCAATCCTTTGGCACTGGCTGATGGTACTTCCCAAATAAGTGAAGCGGTCAATGTGCTCTACCACTTCACTGCCTATTTTTAAACTAGGCGTCGATGTAGTCCAGTCCTGTAACATCATCTTGCATTTGGCTGGAGCGAATCGCATGCCAAACATTCGTAGATTGCAGCTCAAGGTGTTTAGAAGACTCTGCATTTCGTCAGCGTCTTCGCCTAGAAGGACTATATCGTCTGCATATTCCAAGTCAACGAGATTATTCCCCGGTAGCAAGTCAATTCCTGAGTCGCTGAAGTCACTTAGGGTTAAGTCCATTAACATATCTATGATGAAGTTGAATAGAAAAGGAGATAATGGGCATCCTTGACGGACACCACTGGTCGTCACCAGTTCAGATGACAGCTCGCCGTAAGCCCTCGCCTGGCTGTATGAGTACGAGTAGAGTGCCTTAATCAGTGCAATATATTTTCTCGGAATTCCCTTTACAGCCAAGCATCTCCAGAGAACTTCCCGATCGACAGAATCGAATGCTGCCTTTAGGTCAAGAAATATAATGACTGTTGGACGCTGGTAGGAATGCCTATGTTCTAGAATCTGTCGGAGGGTGAAGATATGATCAATACACCCTCTTCCTGGTCTAAAGCCTGCCTGGCTCTCTCGTGTTTGTGCCTCCCGAGCACCACTTAGTCTACGCATGATTATTAAGCCTAAGACTTTAGATACTATATTAGTGCTCTGCCACTTCACTCCCTAGTTCTAAACTAGGAGTCACTGTAGTCCAGTCCTGCAACATAATCTAGAGTTTCATTTTAGGCTACCACCTCTGCATCCACTTATTTGATAATATGAATTCAATATTCTCACACTTAACTTATTCACTCTTATTTAAGCGAATGTATAAAAATATAACTGCCTTTCTAAAATGTATTATAGTATTTACAGGTAAGAATAAAATTGAAGTTAGACTTCATCACGAATCGATAACGGTTAGAGGATCATTGAGTACCAGGGATAGCTGTTTCGTCTGGGTTTGGAGCTATTCACCAGTACACGGCCATGATCCCACACGCTATGCATCAGACTGACGACCTACAGATTACAGGACGAGCTCATCAACCACTCACTTCAATTTAAAGTGAGCTTTTAAATCTCTCCATGAGTTTATTAGTCATCTCTCCTGATGGTTGAAATTGAACGTCGTGACTGGTTGTCTACGTGTGTTTTCACATTCTCTAGGTTACCCGTATTGTTACTGATTGTCTCCTTGACATGAAGTTTGACCCCTTGTGTATGAGATTTTCGCTTTATCGATTGGTGAATTTTGTCCATGTCAATGTGTCTATTAATTCACGATTCATTGGAATAACAGGCGGATTCTAAAAATTCTCTGGCATTCTTTGTGCTTTTTTCTGTCTAATATTTCAACGTTGTCCCAGTCGAACTGATGTCCGTGGTTGTCTGTATGCAGACATATGAGGGAGTGGATTTCATGTCTTTAGACAGCTGGTTTATATACATGGATACGAAGACAAAGACGACAGACACTTTGGCCAGTGGAGTGTTTTTCGCAGTCGTTGCAACTGATTTTGTAGATGATGTAGGTTGGTTCACACAGAATTGAATGAAGTGATTTTGTTGGTTTGTGTGCGACATTAATCCCCAAAGATTAGAAGAGTCTTACAGTGATTTCAGTGATGTCCTTTATACATGGTAGGGAGATTTTCTTTGTGCTTTCTTTGGGGGGCTTTAATTTGGTAGGTTGGCCTGACGGTAGATGTCTTTTGATGAATTTCCTTAGATATCCATGAGATATCTTTCTTCAATTTTTCTTAAGGTAGGAGTGCTGCAACGAATCTTGGCTCTCCTGAATAGTGTTTGTATACAACTCCTTTTGTGTGTTATTGGGTTGTTGCTGTTGTAATTGATAATCTGGTTTGTGTGAGATGATATGCTATAAGCTTCAGTTTGACATTTATATTCTTCTGACTGTGCAATTAATTGATGACTTCAGGTTAGACCACGGATGTTTATCAGTTTGAGAACCATTGAAAACCAGCAAGGAGTACTGGGCAGCTGTTTCGTCCTAGTTTGGGATTCATCATCAGTACGCATCCTTGCTAGTGACTGGCTACAGGACGAAATCGCTCGGCGTTCTAGTGAGAAGTCGTGATCAGTGGGGTCTATCTAGCAGGGAGTGAGAATAGATTTCCCGTCAACGAAATTGGTTGGTGGTGACGCCAAAATCAAGAATTGGTAGAAGTTAGAATTCATGGGCTGGTCATTGAATCGGGTCCCAGTGGCTGAATGGTGTATGAGCTTGCTTTGTTGTTGGAAGGTCCTGCGTTCGAAACCCAGTGGACGCGTACTATCGGTAAATCCGAAAATAGGACAAAACAGCTGGCTGTCCAGTACTCCTTGGTTTTCAATGGTTCCCTAATTGATACCAATCCGTTGTCTAACCTGAACCAAATAGAATCCCTACAAATTAATCCTTGAAAGATAATCAATGACTGTTTTTTTTATTTTTATATCTTTTACGTCATTAGTACCAATGAATATATATATATATATATATCCACTAATAATTCGCGCTTACCTCTGTTATCTCCCAATTAATTGATAAAGTCCAAGCAATTATATGATGTCTTAATAAAATCGCCTTGACAAGCCAACCAAAAAAGTGTGCTAATGCAAAAATATCCATATGGGAGTAAATTCGAGCCAATGATACCTTAATAAGCAAAAACATAATAATAACATATTATATATACATATAATGGGCATATATTTATAATGATTACTAATGTAATGTAAAAATAATAGTCTCAGTCTAGCAAAGTGAGGTGTTCTAGGATGACGATGAAACGTTCGCAATTTAGATGTCACTAACTGACATCAGTCAAAGCAGCACTGCAAACCATCCACGGAGAACTGGATGGACCTTTCGTTCTAGCTTGGGAATCAGCAGCTATACACACCCACGATTCTACCAAAGAGGAACTGCAGACGACCTTCAGGTTATGAGGCCAACCCCTTGATCATTCAGCTATTGGGATGGAACCGATGAAGCTAAAGAATTCTAACTTCCGTACCACTGCCAGACAATGCCCCATCAGCAAGTATCTGCCCTCACACCTGTACTAGTAGAATCCAGCAGTCATGATATCGCTCTAGAACTCCTGGAGGTTCATCCTGTAGTTGGTTACTAATCAGCAGGATAGATTAACTTTCAAATGTAAGTATGAAGTCATTCCATTGAATTCAAGTTACATAGCGAAACCACATCAGCTAGAGAATCACTGATAGCTGTCCAGGGGGATCATGAGTGTAAGTTACTGAAAAATCCAAAGATAGGTCTGAAAGAGCTGTCCAATACTCTTTAAATCAGTTTAATCCCCGAAAACTAACACTTGGAAATGAAATGTTTACTGGACTAAATCTTCAACCCATAAGCTCGAATTTCTAAGGCACACTAATTCGGAGGTGGGGAAATGGGAAAATTCCTTCAAAGTTGTAAATGTGCCTTTTCCTAACAAGTACCAACAAGAATGAAGCCAAGACCCAGGGAGTAGACAGTGACAACTTAGTAGTCATAATTAATGATACATGGGAAAATAAGAGGAGATTGGCAAAGAAGATAAACAAGGTGAAATAACGAAAATCGATGAACTTTGTCTGATTTGCTTCAACAGTCTGAATACAATAAAAGACAAACGAGGAAGTAATATACAATGAATTGGTTGTCATCGCTGTGAAATAATGAGAAGATTTATGTAAATTTCTCGTAACAAGTGTGTAGAAAAGAACTGCGGATAACAAATCAGAAAAAATTACAACAATTAAAATACTGACTATATATATATATATATTGAAGGAAAGGAACACATTTAAAAATCCCTTCCTTTGATGTACTACTTAATATTTAGGGACACCTTGAAAACAAGTAAATGAAAACACTGATTCATGAAACAAAAATTTACACTTGCTGATTAGATTTATTTTCACATGAAAGAAAAGGAAACTAGGTTATCAGGAATTTAATCATCAGAATAAATAACTCAGTGTGGTAACATCTCTGACTGTGTGTTACTAGGTGATGCGCATTCAACTCTCAGAGACTCTTCCCCATAAACGATAACATTTATCTCTTAATGCGGTAGATGGGTCTACATATCGAAATGATCCTACGAGCTACACTGGCTGGGACGAATATTTCTGCAGGTTGTAATACGCTAGAAAGGTCGGATGGATAGGGGATTCAACTAAGAGCAATTTCCATCGTAGTTTAAGTCGTTTCACACTATGCTGAGGGGGAGTCTGTGGGTGAAGTTGTGCAGTTGGCAAATAAGGGTGTAACAACAATAAGGTGTTTCTGTAGGACGCCTGGTGAGCCATATATGCTCTGTGGAGAAGGGGAGAGAGTCAAAAAAGGTCGATTTAGGAAAGCGTACATTTCAGTTTACCCTGAGATGCTCCACAGCTGGTGAAAAGGTCTTCACACGAAAACAACACCAAAAACCAGCTCAGATAAGCCATCTGTGATCTATCTTAGGCAGTTGTCTCCTGGACTATACGGTAATGCAACATTAATCTCCCTTCTGTTCCAGGTATTTCAAAAAGAAATCAACTTCTACTGTGTAGGAAGCCAGGAAATAATAGTCGCTCATGCACTTTCAATATAGGTACACAAAATATTCTTGAATCTTAGAAGGGATATCACTTCCTACAAGATTGCAGCTGTATATATTCAGTGCTGACGAGTGCCGATAAGCACGAAATCTAGGTCCAGGGTGACCTGGTGACTGCCTCCAAATATCCAACACCAATTCTAAATATATCTCTGTCAATATACGTCCTAAATAGTTGAAATAAAATTTTATGCAGAATGGATATACATTCGGTTTTCTTGAGCAGTAACACCTACGAACTTATATGAAATTCAGAGAAGATCAGTGTTTCAAATAATAACAACTACATATAAATTTAGGATTATTATTGGCAACTTGAATATTGTTACTATCCGTTCCCTGTATTCCGACTGGAGTGGCATCTCTATTACACTCACTTCCCTACCGTCATTTTCAACTGGCTCTACGAATGTTTACAAGCTTTCATTTCTTCTTCGTATGATTCAAGCCACTCTCTCACTCCCAACATACTTCTAGAACATATAACCAAGAGGCTACGTCTCACAGGTTTAGCACCACTTAGCAACTCCATACTTCAACACTTGTCTGATACAGAATATCAGATCAACACAGAATCTTTGAAGGTGGTGGACAGGCAAAGCGCCTGACGACTACTTCGAGATAGCTGAATCTATGACATGAATTGTGTTTGTGTGTATGCAGAAAGAGAATGTTACTAGCTTGATAAGCATTAATTCTTTCACCATAACTTGTCAAAATTTCACTGCATTATCCTCACATACTTCCCTATGCAGTATACAATGTCTCCGATTTGGTCAATTATTGAATTTTTCTAACTTCCTGTACAGTTTGCACATCGTCTCCACTTTTTGCACGTTATTCTACTTTTTTAAAATGAACTGGCTATTTAGTTGAAGTATGTTTCAGTCATTTCACATTTACTACTTTTAAAGTTTATAATTCTTGTTGTACATGGATGATGGAAAGCCTATGAGATAATGAAATCAATTCAATTTATCCTGCAAAAGTTGGTTTTATTACCTTATTCATATAAGCTCTGTCTTTTAATACTGACTGATTTCAACATAGAACCTTTTGCAGAAGTGCAGCAGTTCGGGTTGTTACACACTAAGGTGAAAAAAGTAAGGAAATGAATTAAAAAGAACTATATTGAGCAGAAATGTACAGGAGAGAGAATAGTAGCAGGGACAAACATGAGAACTTAGTACATCTGGAACATTACAAAGGGTGAATGCATATGTCCCATTAAGACCGATTTTAAGCCATATCACCAACAGTCAAAAGCCACTGATGGCTCCTGGGGTCTCGAGTACCACGACAAGGCAGCCCACACAACTTTGCGAGTCTGTCTCAAACCAGCAGTCAGACTTCGCGAATTTATGCCATACTTTGGTTTGACCACCCCTGACTATTTTCCAACCTAGTTCTATGTCAGCTAACACTTCTCATGGGAAAGACAGTGGTTTGGTGTGTGCAACACGCATCTTATCCAGTTCAACTGATGTAGCTTCTCAACCTTCCCTCTTCAGCACTGAGCACTCATGAACTCACCAGGGACCTAAAACCAAGATCTGCAGCTTATGAAACTTATGAAATTCCAAATATTTTCTGACATCCAACCATCGAAAACCAATTCTATGGATGAAACTTCGCCTCATACCTGGAATAGGTTGGCTATCTTACCAACTGACAGAAGTCAGAATTCATAAGTGATTGAATTTCAGTCCTGTGACCGAATGGTCAAAGTACTCAGTTCACAACTGTTTAGGTCCGATTTTCAGTCTCACAGGTACGCACTGATGAAAATTCCCAGAGTGGGATGACACAACAGTCGAGTACTCTAATATTTTCGATAACTTCCCCCAATGAAATCTACATTGGATTCAAGCAAAATCGATTACAAAAACAAAATCCATTACCTTAGTACTAATTATTTCACACGGTTACCTAATAGCTTTTACCACAAATTAAACAAATAAACCAATAATGTCAACTTTTGTTCTTATTACATATATTCATACTAATTTCAGTTCAGAGCACTGCTGACTGATATGAATAGTTAGAAACGATTTATATCGACAACTAGCGAGTGCTACCTAACCAGAATGAGGTTGTGCAAACAGTAGAATGGATTACTTTGCTTGTTTGAGGCTGAAATCGTAAACGGTACCAAACTTCGGATCAGTTCACAGACCATCAATTCTAAGCAAAAATGTACCCAAACCTTGTTTCAGGTAACATCACGGATTGACAACCCAGTGACCGAAAAGTTGAGCTCTTAAATTAACTGGGATTCAAGTACACTTACTTATCAGGTTCCAAGTAGAATGAGAATTATGTGTCGGAAACAAATGATACCATGGATGAAATTTAAACCGATAGAAAGGTGTTTATGATGAAGTCCATATACCAATGAAGGTAATTGGTAAGTACTATCGCCTAAAGGCAAAATTAAATAGGTCAAAATAATAATTGACACCAACTGCACGAGAAATAGATTATGTCATCTGGTAGCTTAGACGATTATGCTTCTGCGTTTGACTGACAGACAAAGGGGATGTGATGGCTACGAAAGCGTTGTGTGCTTATGGAAGGGTATGAAAGGTCATTACTTCCCAGCAGCAAAGAAAAACATACACTATGAGACGAATACACAGTCATCAACTCTCAAATAAGATGAAATATGGATTTTATATTGTACTAGCTGTCCTCACATTATGTAAACCAAATGATAAATGACTCAGTATAAGACAAAGAACGGCTGTGTTATATGTAGATAAGTCACAAAAACAAATACCGTAAAGGAGAATGAAGTTGAATAGCAGAAATTACTTTATAATTAGAAGAATAACTTTACGCGCAGAATTAGCATTACTACTTGAATAAAGAAAACACTTATTAACTAACCTGACTACAATTAACAGCATATTCCTTGTCAAGAATATCAGAATGACGCATGTGCTTTAATTCAGGGTAGACCCAAATTAAAATAGCACGAGCTTCATCCAAACGGAGAAATACAACAGCGACTAAACACAAAAAATATAATAAACTGGCACCAAAAACAATTCTCCATATAGCAGGATGTGGTCGAGTAAAAGGACCTAGAATTAATTTAAAAGTACATCATTTATATTGTTAGGCAAAAGTACATTTTATATTAGCATCACTTAAAATAGATATTTAACTTCACACAATTTTGTAAAAGTAAATGAAATATCAACCTAGCCTAGTTAACTAGATTTCTACTTTTTAGCCGGTCCCAAGTCCGGGTAAACAGGGAGCGTTGGACATGGGGCTAGCAACCCTACACTACTTAACCCATCAAACTGTTAGAGAAACTTCAACGCACAGAAAATACGTTAAAAATAAAAAAATCCAAAGAACGATCTTATTCTTCTCTGGAATCAGAAAGGCGAAATGACACAGCGGGTGGGTGAAAGCCAGCCCTCGGGAATCCAGTCAGCCAGTCGATGTATCTTCTTTCCATGAAAGCAACAATAAGAATGGGGAAGTGTAATGTCCGTACTATGTACGAGACTGGAAAGGCTGTACAAGTAGCCAAAGACATGCGGAGATATGATATACAAGTGCTGGGTATCTGCGAGAGCAGATGGGATGGATGTGGATTATAAAATTTGTCAACTGGAGAGTCAGTAATCTATTGCAGTCACCCAAACGATAACCATGAGCACAGTGAAGCAGAGAGTGGCTATAATGATACCACCAGTGGTAGCCAAAGCACTGATACAATGGGAACCAATCTCCTCTTGCAGGATCACAACAGCAAGACTCAACTCAAAAGGAAAGAAGGTCACACTAGGAATACATTGAGACCATCGAATGAAATTGCGCCCCACGCCTCGAGTGGAATCCAAATGGGAAGAGACAAGTGGGTCGTCAGTGCGAGGGTGACATGGAGGAGATCATGTGAGGAAGAGATGAGAGATTATGGGCAGTCGTGGAATCAGCTATAGAGAACGGCAGAAAATAGAACCAAGTGGAGATGTGTTGTTGAAGCCCTATGTTCCACTCAGAATCAAAAGGTATAATAATAATAAATGAAATATCAGTACTAATTCTATTGTAGAGTAATTTTTTAGTACAACCCAAAGTGATGTGGCATCATTTTTACTAGAGCTGATTTTTGAAACACTCTATCAAGCAAATAAACAATAACTTATCGCCACATTAGCATTGTTTTAACTACAACGAGGCACATAAGAAGATACCAAAGTCAACCAAAACAGGAGAGACAAGACACACCTTCATTAATCTGAAATCAGCAAGTTTGCACTGACAGATACTTTTCAGTTAATATTGTCTTCATAACGTTGATATGAAGAAAAAAACCACGTTTTCCTTAGGCATTGATTCTGCATTTATCAGTGTACCTCTGTTACAGACGGTTTACATTTTATGTGACTCCATCGCTAACAGCAATTTCTTATTACTATCTCATTTGAAAGAGTCACTGTTTTTATGTACTAAAAATGTTAAGTTTACATTTGAGGGCAAGCAGCATATCCGCCAGATCGATGCTGTTGCTATGAGAAGCCCTTTAGGTTTATTGTTGGCTGATATAAACATGTCACCTGTTGAGAACCGAGTTGAGGACGTAATTGGAAAAGTTTGTTTTTATAAGAGATATGTGGATGACATAATAGTCACTTGTGATAAACCAGCAGATACTGTAGAAATCCTTAACCAAATCAATTCAATACAAAACAGCATATCCCTAACATACGTAAAAGAGAACGACTGCTTGCCATTTTTAGGTGCACTCATAACCCACCGACAAGATGGGTCTACAGAAAGTCTATTTGGACAGAACAATATCTAAATTATCACAGTTTCTGTCCACTATGGTATAAAAAGGCATTGGTCAAGTGTTAGTTTAGATCCCGATACCATTGAAAAATAAGCACAACACTTCACAGAAATATTTTTAAATAACTATCCGTTGAAATTTGTTAGGTGTTACAGAAGTGTCAAACAAAGAGGTCTACCGATCCAGTCAGCTCCTAAAAAGGGTGTTTATATATCCTTGTCATTCAGGGGTGATCAACAAAATCTGATCATTAAACAAGGACTCAAGGCGGCGATTAGTAGAACTTACTACGCAGCCAAACTTATTTTCACAGAGAAAGCGAGATCTATACCGTCCTTTTAAACCCTGACAACATCCGAACGATAGTGTCACATCCCATCGTGTTTACCAATTTACATTTGTGGACACACGTACTTAGGGAGAATCCATCTGTCTCTGAGGGTTAGGGCTACAGAAAATATTCCAATATTAGATAGTTGGAGGCAATCAACAGGAAGCCTTGGACCTAGGTTTCGTGCTAGTTGGCACTCATCAGTAAGGCGTATCTGCAACCTTGGAGGAACTCATGTTTCTTCTGAGGTTCGAACCTGCGTCACCCAGCGCTGCAGTCAGAGACGTTACCATTGAGCCATTCGGGTTTGCTATTGACCTCTTGTAGGACTGTAGTGAGTATTTTTGATTGGACACTAGTAACTAGTGTGACGTGTCTAGTCCTTTCTTTGGTGCAGACTGGATTCTATCAGTCAGGTTTTGCAATGTGGCCACCATTCTAGGTAGCTCACCATCACGATGTACATTGATTTGATGATATTCGGTAGTTGGAGGCAATCGGCAAGAGTGCCAACTAGCACGAAACCTAGGTCTAAGGCTTCCTGCCGATTGCCTCCAACCACGTAATATCATCAAATCATAGGCACCGTGATGGTGAGCTACCCAGAATGGTGACCACATTGCAAAACCTGACTGATAGAATCCAGTCTGCACCAAAGAAAGGACTAGATACGTCACACTAGTTACTAGTATCCAATCAAAAATATTCCAAAGTGGCTGTAACAACAGAAAAAATCAGTGGATACAACTGATCCCAGAAATAGATGTTCAACACCAACTGTAGTGGAGTACATCATAGAGACAGGTCACAAATTTGCTTTTAATAATGTCTTTAAACCCATATATGAAACAGATTTGGGTCAAATACTTAGAGCTGTTGAAGCCCTTGTTATAAAAAGGCCTAAGTCTGTCTTGTGTCCAAAAATTACTTATTACTTTAAACCTACCTTGGTAATCCAACTTATTACTAAGGTTCAATTTACTTAATGATATTCTTACCTTCTCTCTTCTTTTTTTCCTACCCCACACCCTTATGTCATCTCCCTCCCCCTATTTGTGACCTTGACCCGTACACAGTTCAACCTATATTGTAATCACCCATGCTGTCTTCCCTTCTATATAACTGTGTATGACAAATACATGTATTGCGTAAATACATTACAAGTTTCAGATAAACTACGTCTTCTTATTGTTTTGTCAAAATCTGAAATCACTGTGGGAATCTATCGCACTCAACATAAAGAACAAGACTCGAATTTTCAACACTAGTTTCAAGCCAATCAGCACTTCTTTATGGTTCGGAGGCTTGGTACACGCGTCATAAAACGCATTTTCAACCAGCCACTGAAGACTTCTATGAACAACTGACTTCGCTCCATGCTGAAGATCAGATGGCCGATCAGAAAGGATAAGAAACAAGGAACTCTTGCAACGAACCAACTAAGAACCCGTAGGCCAACAGACACACCAAAGAATACATATTGGTTTGGCATCATCAAATGATAGAATCAGTCAGACAATCAGAACATAAAAATTCAGCCAGATCTAGAGTGATGAAGCCTACGACAACAAACGCTGGGAAAACCGTTGAGTTTTATCACGCGCCAAGCCCTCAAGTGGAACCTGAATAGGAAACGATTAGTAGGGCGTGGGCCCAAGAGTGATATGGAGGAGATCGTGTGAGTAGGAAATGAGAGCTTAAGAGCAATCGGGGATCCAACTAAGGACGACTGAATAGAACAGGATGAAATGGACATGTGCTGTTGATGAACTATGTTCCATTTAGAACTTAAGGGAATAATAATATCACTGCACTTCGTAAACAGTTATTTTACTATGAAATTATACTCTACCATAGCGAACAAACTCTATCCTTACAATTTTATAACGATGTTGACATTAAGTTAATAGCCATCCACGCCTCACGTAACTCTCTTGACAAACCTACTTCTTAGAAGAATTCTAATTCATACTAAAATTTAATTTCAAATCTTCGAAGTTTTACATTCAATGTGTTTTACGGTTATTTTTCTAATTATTATGAGTTTATCCATTCACGCAATTTTTCTTCAAAATGAAAACCCAAAAAATATTTTCTGATAAGAGATAATTCTAATAAGATACATAGTCGTGATTAATTGGCGCAAATAATGAGTTTGACCATACATCAAAGGACATCTTTACTTTTTGCTCCATGCATCCTTATTTCACAATATTATAATAATGGACAACAAAACACGCTAAATTCTTATTGTAATTTGATTTATTCATTTGCATAGATTACAACAGTGCAAATGAATCAGTTATACTGGCTACATATTTGTTACTGTTCCTTTCAAAATTATGGTGTTATGTGCGGAAAAGGTGTTTTAGTCACCATACTTAACTACTTAAATTCCTATAGTCAGATAGGGTATCGAATTAGACCATGCACTAAGCAAACATTCTACATTTATGTGAGAAACCCTTTTCAAATGCATTCATTATCAATACTAGATCTCAGTACTTAACGGGTGCATTCGCAGTCAAGTAAATAACCACTAGTGTAAGTTATACTTTAATCCGAATGTCCCAACTAAGCAGAGAGCTTATTAGATTGGAATATAATGACTCCTTCACCTGGCCAAGATGCTCCATCGACTTGTGACAACTTTTGTACCAGCAAAATATTTGACTACCTTCCTGAGAGACATATACTCTCCTCTCCGGCTATAACTGCCGGAAAACATAGGTAGAATAACTACCGGTTTTCAGGCAGCATGTAAACATATATGGCAGCAAAGATGATAGGGTTTAAGATAATGTTGGGTGAGGAAAGCGAAGCATCAAGTGAGAAGGATAAACACGTGCTACTCACTTCGAAAGGCCAGATAAAACATATGGCCGATTTATGAGGTCACTGGCTGTATATTTGAATCACGTAGTGTGTACATTATATCAAACAAATTGGCTTGAGATACCTGTGCCGCATACTAGAGACAACCACAATATATTCAAAGAGTTCGAAGTACACAACGGTTGAAAATTACCCACTGACTTTCAGATCTAACCCTATCTTGGAAACAACATAACTCCTCATTTTCGAAGACACAGCATCACAATTCAAATTTGTTTATAGGTCTTGTATATGCGGAAAAAACAGTGATTAGACAGATGAATGATAGATTTATGATATCATTAGTGATATCAGTCGATAAAAAATACGCAAATAACCAATGCCCAGATAGCAATTTCTTCGGGAGCACTACAGAACGTGGGGCAGTGATCTGCATTCTACCCCAAAGATTCTGCAGTGCACCCGAAGTTCACCCCATATTTCTGCAACCGACCCTAAGCTTGAACTACACACTCACGGTTATGCGGTGAAGCCTTAGTCGATAGCCACAACAAATTCATACCTACTATGAACACAGCTTGTCGACATATAGTGCTGATAAAATGTTGTTGAAATTTTTTTGGTAAGTGGGACTACAGTTGAATAATTTATGAAAATGAATCGTCTCAAGAAAAATTCTCTTCACTGTTTACGCCTCTTTCTTATAATAAAATATGACATAAACGGGGGAACAACAGAAAAATTTATAAACATACCATTTGGCATTATCATCACCGATATCAATAAAAATATAACGCAGACTGCAATGAATGCATGGAATAAATTATTCTCCAATGGTTGTGAAGGAGGCCTTAAGATATAAATTAATTTACATATCCAAGTACCTTGAGAAAGCAACATATACTAGGCACAACCAGATTATGGCCAACACTGTCAAAGTTCGAGATCGATAAAATACGCCGATTGTGATGTCATCGACCTTCTGTTGTTCGATGAGGGAATTGAAGTACTCTTTGTCAACCTGGGATTCAGACAACAGCCTTCGACGCATGTTTGGAAGGTCTCAAGGCCACAAGGGTTACCTCCTATTCAGCGCTAAGGTCATCTCTCAATATACCTTTTCACAAAGTTCCAATATCCAATATCCTGATTACGAGCTAGTATAAACCAGTGATTTCTTTGAGCTCGCTTCTTGATTGTGAGGTAGAGGTTCCAGATCTTCGGTGAGCTTCTGCGTAGTAAGTCCCGACACTCGACTGCTTTAGCTCTGGTAGACTCCAGGAGGAGTGGTGCGGGGATTGGTCGAGATGTGGTTTGTAGTATGCAGTATGTTAGGACTGTATTGCTGCCGTGAATGGAGTTTGACCTAACTCCCGTTGGTCATTCGGTGTAGTCATAAAAGCAGAATAGTAGTAATAATAAAAGAATAAAAATAATGGGTTGTAGTGTAGATAATATAGGTTGAGATAAGTGGAATAATAAAGGTGACCTAAGGAAAAGATAGAGTGAGAGAAGGCAGAATAGGTCGTGGGGATTTAGTTTGTACGCTTATCCATTGACAGTGTGGTTTCAAGTTTTATGAGGATAAGCCATTGAGACACAAACCTTGCATTTCTGCATGATTGTCTAGCTTCCGCTTAAAAATCTCCAGAGATGGCGCTGTAGTCACGGCCGCCGGTAAAGCGTTCCAGAGACGGCAAACACGAAGCGAAAAGAAATGTGATCGCACTCGAGTCTTTGGTCTCTGGTGTGCTATCCTTAGCGGGTTACCTCGTGGAAGCCTATAATCACTTAATGGCAGGATGCTTTTATTTGGGTGGGCCTGGTCATTTAGGATCTGGTAGACGGTGATGAGGTCTCCCCTGTGCCTACGGTAACTAAGTGTGAAAAGACCTAATTTCTTTAGTCTTTCCTCATATGATTTGTTGCGGAGGCCGATCACCCATTTTGTCGCTCGTCTCTGGACACTTTCTAGAATGTTAGCATCCCTTTTGAGTAGCGGAGGTGCAATGATATTATGCACCTCAAGGTGTGGCCTCACATATGCCTTATATAACCTTAAGAACAGTTCGGGAGTGAGAGCTCCCAGCTGCCTATGCATAAAGTGTAAAGTTGCGTAGGCTTTGGCGACGTCCCTCGAGTAATTTCCACTGGTGTCTAGCTTTTCTGTTAGAATAAGACCTAGATCTCGCTCTGATGGAACACAACTCAAGTTCTGGCCACCAAGGGTGTAATTTACACTCTGTGACCTGCCGGAATGAAGTTGCACTACTTTGCACTTCTTTAGGTTGAAAGGCATTCCGTTAGCCAGAGCCCAGTTTCCCAGAGTTTGCAGGTCAGCCTGCAATCTATCTGAGTCTTCCGATGAGTTTATTGCTCTCCAAATCTTTACGTCGTCAGCGTAAAGAAGCGCAGAGCAGTTTAGTTGGGAGGGCAGGTCGTTGATAAAAATCAAAAACATCAACGGCCCTAGGATAGAACCCTGAGGAACCCCTGATGCCGAGGTGTGCCAGGATGATCGGATGCGGTTGACTTTGGTGCAGAATTCTCTCTCGCCTAAGTAATCTGTCAGCCATGCGAGAAGTGCTCCAGAAACACCCGCCTTGCTTATTTTGTGAAGGAGCAGACCATGGTGAACTGTGTCGAATGCTTTCGCAAAGTCGAGAAAGATCACGTGGGCTGGTACCTTTTTGTCCCAGGATAGTGTCCAATCGTTCCAAGCTAGTAGAAGATTCGTCACGCAGGATCTTCCCCTCCTGAAACCGTGCTGTGCTTCGTGAAGAAGGTTAGTCCCATCGAAGTATTTTCTCATGTGGTCGTCAATGAGACTTTCCAATATCTTCGATATCACTGGAAGTAGAGCAACTGGTCTGTAACTGGTCGCATTCTGCCGGTCACCACCCTTGAAGATAGGGGATAGGATTGCTCGTTTCCATTCACATGGAAGTTTCCCTACATCAAGGGAGTGTTGGAACAGATCACTTAGGGGTTGACAGAGACTTTCTGAACACTGCTTCAGGACAGATGGTCTGATGTCATCACAACCTGAAGACTTTCCCGAAGCCAACCTTCCCAATTTTGCAAGTACCATAGCCGGGGTAATTTGAAATGTACCCAGCAGGTTTTCGCGTGTTGGTTTTGCGATGTAATCTGGATGTTCTGTGGGGTAATATCCTCGTTACTGTTTAGTTGCCTGTGAAAGGCTAGGCTGAATGTCTCTGCCATTTCAAGACTAGTAAGAGATTTCCCATCAGAACCCACTAGATTGCATGCTCCCTGGTTGGTCGGTTTTCTTTCGGACATAAACCTGTATAGGCTTTTGGGGTTCACGAGAAGCTTATTGGCGAGGTCTCCCTGAAATGTCCTTCTATCGCTCCGGACTCGTATGTTACATCGATTCCTGAGTTCAAGGTACACTTCATGTTCGGGTTGACTCTTCGATCGTCGCCACGCAAACCAGGCTTTTCGCTTCGCCTGCAGAAGGCGTTGTGTCCCCCTTTTAGCCATGATCGTTGCTTCCTAGCTTTTGGTGTGACTAAAGGAACAGTGTCTGAGACCGCCTGGTGAATGATCTCCTTTACCACTCTCCAGTGTTCTTCAACTGTTAGCTCTGTCCATTTTTTAGGCCAGTTTGCTTCAGACAGAAGTCTTCGCATTTTGGTGTAGTTGGCTTTGTTATAACACAGATAGGGCTGTGTATTGTCCCACTGTAAGCGCTCGCGGAGGACTATGTCGAATACTATGACCGCGTGGTCACTACTACCTATGGGAGTCGTGATCTGAACGTTTTCCACTAGTAGCTGGTCACTAGTGAGCACGTAATCCAGTCTAGAAGACTTCCCATCAGGGCCCCATCTAGTATCCATCTTGACATTTTCAGTGAATCCAGCCTTCCTGATGGTATGCAGCAGATTTCGATCAAATCTATCATGGGCTTTTCCCGACACCAAGTTAAGAGATGGGGCATTGAAGTCACCAGCTATGACAATTTGATCATAACCCATGTCTTGAGTTGCTGAGATTGTATTTAGCAGTACCTGGTTGTGGTCTGCTCCACATGAAGGTGATCGATAAATGCTGCCCACTAGATATTTGCAGTACCCAACGGTGAAGTGGCACCATATGGAGTCAGGGAGCTCTGTGAGGGGAGGGTCCATCGCGTGAACACATCTGAGCTGTTTGTCGACGTATATGGCGACTCCACCTCCTTCTTTCAGGTCCCTATCTCGCCTGACTAGGACCATATCATTTATACTGACTTCGCTGTCTGCCACCGTAGGGGTTAGCCAGGTTTCCGTCAGTATTATGATTTTGGAGTTCAGTTGTGATTGTAGGTGTCTAAGTTCAGCTATTTTGCCTCTTAGCCCTCTCACATTACTGTACAGGCAACTGGTAGTCAGTCTCACCACTTCCCCGTATTGGGGGGTAGTTGACTTGATATTGGCTATCGGTTGAGGGGTTATCCTACGAACTAGTTGGCCGATTCCCCGGGAACCGGCCTGTTGGCGTTTTTTTCTTCTAGTTCAGTCGGAGCACTCGGATGACACTGGCTATCATCGTCCGTGCTGCACCGCTGTAGTGTGACTAGGGGTTGAGGATTTTTTTAACTACGCTTTGTTCTCTCCTTTGAGTGCGAGGCCGGCTCTCGCAGCAGCGAATGTGTTTGCTGACCTTGTCCTTGGTCTCGTACCATCTTTGGAGAGCGGTAGTCAACTGGTCTTGGGAGCTGAACTTGACAGCTAACAGACGTGGCGAGTTAATTGACATAAGATGAGTGGGTCGAGGCAGTCTATAAATAGAGACAGCCCCTGAACTCCCAGGGCCATCTGGGATGCCAACCATCTCCATTGTTGTACATCATGACAATGCTTTTCGCAGGCGTTCCCAGTTACCAGTTCGGGAATGCCATGCACAACCATGGAGGCAGAAGGAATGAGCTCTGGCGACTCCCTCGCCATTTGTCTTTCCTTCCACGGCCTGTCTGGCTTAACGCGTATGTTACAGGCCCTCCCTATAGAAAGGACTTGAGAAGCCAGTAACACTTTTTCAACATCCTCAGTAGAGCCCAATGTTACCCTCAGTGGGGATGGTTTGCCTTCAGGTGCAGCAGTGCCCTTGTAGATTTACTGGTTGGATGTCCAAACCCAGTGTGCTGCACAAGATGGACCACTGTTCCTGATCAAATAGGGCCCTATCTTTCAGCAGACTACTGCTACAGTCTGGTACGTTAAAGAGGATTACACAATTTGATCTACTAACCGTGGGCTTGGGCTCGGTCCTCGCACATTTGTGATTTCCTTTAAGACCGTTTTGGTTCGTCTGGTTCGACTGGGTATTTTTTTGTGTCTCAGTGCCGTGGCCAGTATTACTGGCAGACGAGAGGGGTATTTTTCCAACGACGGAGACCCGTGGTTCTCCAGCTTCTATGTCTGGAGCGGTTATGTCACGAGTTACAGATTTAACCAGTTGGGATTTTGGTATCCTATTACTAAAATGGCACAAACTCCAACTCCACTGACACCAAACCAAATTAGCACTGTTGAATTCACTTACGCTGACATTAACCAAACTATAAGAACCCTCAAAAGTTCAAAATGTTTCGGTACCAACGGTATATCATCTTACTTCTATAAATATGGTGGCCCTGACATTCCTCTACTACTGCTTAAAATATTCACAATGTCCCTAGAAACCCAAACTTACCCTGACATATGGAAGACAACATTCATTACGCCTAAACACGGATCTGGCTCGAAAACTGAAGTCAGTAACTACCGGCCAATCAATATCACACCTATAGCATCTAGAATCATGGAGAGACTAGTTAAAGATAACTTAATCAAACATATGCTTAGCTGCAATATTATGAGTCCAAACCAACATGGATTCCTGAAATCCAGATCATGTTTAACGTGTCACCTAGACTTCTTCAATTTTGTAACCAGCAGTCGTGACAGACGGCAACCAGTACTTGTCATCTACTTTGACATTTCTAAGGCATTTGACCGTGTTGACCATCCACTGCTAACAAATAAACTGAACTCCTTAGGA